CGGCGCCCGGCCGCTTCGCCGGCCGCCCCGTGTGTTATGCCGTCAGCGAGCGGTGCAACTACCAGCTGTATTGTGGTGACGGCAGCGACGAGAGGGACTGCGCCGTGTGTCAGCCCGGAACCTTCCACTGTGACAGTGACAGGTCGGCCCTCATCCTGTCAAAGAGCCCATCGGCATTTACTGGGATAATCCCAAACGTATTCACAGCTGTCCAAAATCCATGACGTGCAGACAACACTCCCATCATGAGAATGCGACAAAATGGTCTCGGCTTTGTTTTCAAATATATTAATAATTACAAGTAATGTTCCTCGTGAGGCAAAGCAGTCCATTCGTTAGCAGCTGTGTCTAACCAGTTCTGAAAGTGACATAAAATGCGACAAGTGAAGATCTTGTGCTTAACTCGTGGTATTTGTCGCAAATACGAAAAGGACAAGTGGCAGTAGGCGGATGACAAAGCCGAGTAAAACATGTTATCGGTGCACTGGTTGGCGGCTGTGTGCCATTAGAAAATTCTACTGGGTAAAACTTCACTCGAAGCACATGTTAGCAGTGAGGCAAAACTGCACTCGTTTCCACTGTGTCAGGCTTTATAGCCACATGAATAAATTCTCCGACGACTGGTCAGGCGAGCGGACCGCGCCGCCAGCAGCGACTGACTGCATTCCACTGCGTGCTTGTCTCAGGTGCGTGTTTGAGAGCTGGCGCTGCGACGGCCAAGCGGACTGCAAGGACGGCACGGACGAGCTCAACTGCACCATCATCCTGCCCCGGAAGGTCATCACGGCGGCCACGGTGGGCAGCCTGGTGTGCGGGCTGCTGCTGGTCATCGCCATGGGCTGCACCTGTAAGCTGTACTCGCTCCGGACCAGGGAATACAGGTAAACGCTGTTGCCAAAATACAAGGGATTTTGATGGGGAAAAAAATGGTGGGGGCTTGATAGAGAGTGTCCGTACGTGCGCTCTTCCCGCAGTATGTTTGCGCCGATCAGCCGACATGAGGCGCAGCTGATTCAGCAGCAAGCTCCGCCCTCTTACGGTCAGCTGATCGCGCAAGGCGTTATCCCCCCAGTGGAGGACTTCCCCACCGAAAACCCCAATGAGGTGAGAGACACTTTTGGGCGAGGTCAAGTCAAACTGACTTGCTCGGTCACTCGCATCCAGGTCGATCCTAGTTTGGGATTTGTCATTGTAGTTAGTTTCCATTTCCTCTTGATTATTATTTGTCAAAAAACGGTCATTAGTTTGAGAGCAGTTTTGTTGGATTTCATTCGTTTTTCCAAAATTTGTTTTTATTCTTTTTTTTTTTTTAAACTGTGTTGTATTTGTTGAGTGTGAATTAAAAAAAAAAACAAACCAAACAAAACTCACGAATGAGTACTACAGTAAGCTACATTTGATTCTTTGACCTTCCTTCTCGTGTACGGTTGTACAGTAATGCTGAAAAGACATTTCAAATAAACTGGAAGCCCATCGATGTAATTAACTGACCAAGACAAAAACGACGGGACATTTTTGCAAAAATTGATTTTTTTAAAAATGTCATTTTAGTGATTCATTTTATCAAAAGCACTTTCAATGTTTGTATTTTTTCAATGCGAGTTCTTTCTTTAGTTTTCGTGAAGTGTAATAACCTAACAATGTAATTAGACACTGGCTATCTACTTGGCTTTACTCCGTGAAAATCAATGCGACTGACATGATGCCGTTTGGCTGCCTCAGACTTCGTCCTTGTCTCTGAGGGGGATACTGCAGCTCCTTCGCCAGGACGCCGTCACGTCCCCGCACCGAAGACGCAGGCCCCGCTTCGTCCGCCGCCTGGTCCGCCGCATGAGGAGGTGGGGCCTGATCCCCAGGCAGCCCTCCAGGCCCTCCCAGACGGCCGGTGCCGGGCAGCAGCCGCCCGAAGTGGCCCCGGCGGATCAGGAGTCGAGTCGCGCCGCCCCCGCCGGCTCCTCGTCTTCGGCGGAGGGCGCCAACCGTCCCGTGCCTCAGAAATTGAGCCTGTCGACTCAGGCTCCGTCGCCGTCCTGCGCTTCCCCGCCGCCGCCTCCGTACTCGCCGCCGGCGCCGCCCTCCGAGGCGCCCCAAACGCCTCCGGTGGCCATCCCGCCGAGCAGCCCCTCTCTGGCGTCTATCTTCCACACGCTGGGCGTCAGTCTGTCCTTGTTCAGAGCGTCGCCCTCGTCCGGCAACTCCATGCCCCTCTCGGCCTCCCCCTCCTACTCCTCGTCGTCGTGCTCCGACGACGACGTGCTGCTCATCCCGCTTTCCGAAGACACCGCCTCCGACGACGATGTGCCCATGCTCACTTGAATCACCTCCTTGACTAGTGCCTTCCTTTCCTCTTGTCCTTTAAGTCTTTTACCATTTCGAAAAGCAACTCGAGAGCATTTTAGAGCAGTGTTTCCTAACCTTTAGCCAACCTAGACATTTTTTTTTTTTTTTTTTTTGAACATTAGATTTAAAAAATTGCCATCAGATGAAAAAAATGTCAGGAAAAACTGCCGCACCTTTTTGTAGACTAAATAATGCTTCCCCGGTATGTTGACAATTGCCGATATGAACCCCTGGCCAAACCTGCGATCCCCCCAAATGTTATTCATATGTTTGATCTGTTTGTGTTTTTATGCCAGGTTGGTCTTGCAAATGAGAATCTGCCCTCACTTACCTTACCGATGGTTTGATTTTCAAAGAGCAAAAAAAATGTGCACATGAAATTCTTGTTTTCAGCCCAAGGCAAGGTTGACGTAGGCTAGAACACATCGGGTGAGCTTTGAACACAGAGGAAGGCGCTTCCCGATCCACTTTTTTGACCCCTTCCCAATGCAGGATAACATTTTGGGAGCAAATGCTGCGGCATATGTTTGTAGATGCTCTTCAGGTATTCCGGAAAGAGAAAATGCATCCCCTGCTCCCGACTGAAGTGCCTTTCTGGAGGAATTTCCCACAGAACACGCTCTGATGGCTCGCTGGCAATAACTCTTCAGATGCGGGTTTTAGTGCCCTTTTCCTCAACCCTGCCCAAGTGAATGGATTGAAATGTGTTTCTTTGATGCTGGTTTTTAGGATGTGTGAAAGAGCCCTCTTACCCCCCCCCCCCCCCCCCCCCCCCCCTTCTATTTATTTTGACACTTGTGCCAGTCAAATGATTACTCCTAGTCTTGTTGCTTTCTGTCGAATGTATCAAATAGCTCGGAGGCTTTTAAGTTTGCAATGTTTTGAGATGAGGATGAGAAAGTTGAACGTTCCTTTGGGTCAATTTCACTGTATATAAGTCCAAAATGTGGCTGCGATTAAAAGATTTGCACTTTTTAGCGAAGGGGGGGTCTTTGTTTGCTTCACACCCTGTTCCACATGTGTCGCTTTGTAGTCGTTTGTATTCAAAAAAGGACTTGTGGAATTTCACACCCAAAAGAGCTCCTCGTGCAAGACGGGAAGAATCAGTCTGGAGTTGCCTCTTGGCCAGTCTTGGACACACTCCAGTCAACTGGTAATGAGAATTCTCGGTTCCTCTTTAAAAAAGAAAAAAAAAGTTCTAATTGTATTATGTGTTCACGTAACAGGTGATGCTTACCCGGCTGTGTGTGCTCCTGCTATGCGCCGAGCTGCGGGTCTCCCCGCACCGGTGCGTCTTCGACGAGGTTCAGCCTCGGGTGCGAGTGGTCCGCGCCGCCCGGGGAAGTTTGGTGCCGAAACCGGGAGAAGTGGCCCCGATGAGGATCGGCACTTGGCTTTCCGGAGAGAGCGAGCGCCTGTCGCAGCACGAGGAAGGGCAAGTGAGGGCCACTGTGGAGCGGGCCGTGAGGACCGTGTCATCGTTATTTTCAGGTATAGTACAGGCTTTTGTCATCTTTACCAAAAAAAAAAAAGAAAAAGTCAAGTACTGTATAACGTGCACAACTCAACTGGGGAAAACTGTCATCTCAAGTTAAAAAAAATATGTGGTTGCACAGGTATGCGCACCCATTTCTAACTGGGGCTGTGACTATTCAGAATTAACCAGTCACATTCATCTTGCACCCGTTTTTTTTTTTTTAATATCGTAAAAAAAGGGGCATTTGCGTCAACTTTTTATATCCACTCTAAGTACCGTATGTACCCATAAAAAAAAAAGTCAAAATGTTGCAATGACAAAATGTATTCTTTTGAGGCAATAGAAGTTGTCATGGTAGGAGAATTGTTGTATTTATTTGCGCAAGAAAAAAAATTCTAAAGCACAGATCTATTTTGTCAAATGGAGATAAAAAAAGTTATCAGGATATGAAATCAAAAATAGTGTATTTCAAAGATATATTTCTTTATAAAAAAATGACACAAAAATAGGGCAATACTGTATTTAAAAATATTATCTGGAATGTTCTTTTCAATGAGTAGTCATATGCTAAAAATCGATCTATTCATGATATGAAATTGTTGCGCATTTGACACGTAAATTTATTCCGGAGGGAGTTTTACATTAGGGGTGTTTCCGATTTGGATTTTGTGTTGCTCATTCCGATACCAATCGCATGCATTCGATGCACATTTTTCAAATTTAGAGCTGCTCACAAAGTATAATCGTCATACGTCATGAATTCATCTGTCAATTCTTTTTTTCCCCCCAATTAATGAATGAATCCATTTCGGAAAAGGCATTCGTTCCAAATTTCCATCCGTCTATCATACAAAAGGACACCGTTATTTCAAATTGATGGTGCAGAAAATGCACAAACAAATATTTAGGATTCATTTACTGGTTTGGTCTGTAACATGTCAGAAAATAGGGAAACGATTGTTTGGTTTACTGCGGGCCCTTGGCGGTGTTCAGCCAAGTGGGAAGGGCCACTTCACTGATTGGCCGTAGCCCGCAAAGTACGAGCTCTGGGTGAGCAGGTAAGATGGACATTTGCCCGTCACGTACTTTTGCATGGAAATTGGCTGATCACATTCCAAGGATAGACATCTTTTCACATGATCTGACACGCACGAACAAGAAGCGGAATCTCATGTTTGCTTTTGACAGTGGAGCAAGCCTCAAGCCCACTGCTGCTCAGCAGGGACGTCAACAAATACTGCAAGTTTCTGTGGAAGAATTCAAGCGGTGTCAACTACAACAGGTGTGTGTGTGAGTGTGTGTGCTTAAAAACAAGCAAAAAATATATATATATTCTCAACGGCCGCGCATTGTCCCACCTGACTCAATCACTGAATGAAATAATGCTTTCAGGTGTGGCCAAGCAAACAAAAACTACAGATATGAGATGTGCCTGGACGTCAAGGTCAGTGCATATTGGGGCTGGATGACATAAAATCGTCCCCCGCCCCCTCCCACCACCTGAGAAAATTGGAAATCTGATTGGTTGGGTGTAGAAAGAGTGTCATTGCTACTATAATATAACTTACATGGGCCATCTTGAGCCATCTTGATTTATTCTAAAGGCCCTGGGCAAACAGATGAACATGGCAACACGATGAGGCTGAAAAAAAACATGAAAAAAACAAACACTATAAAATGAAGAGAAGAGTTTTTTTTTTCCCTCCAGATACCGGATAATCACCTCGCTGGCTGCGAAGTCTATCCGCAGTCCAACTCGACCCGCAGTGTCGTTCTGAGGCATCCAGGAGGCGGGGTGGCCGACGTCGACTTCCTGCTCTACCTCCATGTCCAAACGTCGGACAAGTGCAGGGCGCAGGTAGTGCTCGTTTCCGATCCGAAGGCGTGTCGTCGGAAGGCTCACGTTGAATTGCGCGCGGCAGCCTCGCCTGTTGGCCTACGCCGCCCACTGCCGGACAGATGCCAGCGGGAGACCTTTGGCGGGTGTCGTGGTCATCTGCAGGGAGAGACTGACAAGAGTGAGCGTACAGGTCTGTCCATGCCCACTTGGATTCAGTCCAATGAGCTGCTTTGTTTCTCAAAGTGACATTTGGAATGCAGGACTGCGTAGCATTAACCTCCCCCGCCACTCTAGACTGTGGTCCATGAGCTGTTCCATGCGCTGGGCTTCTCCAGAGATCTTTTTGCCACGTGGGTAGACTGCTCCGTCGAACGAGAGATTTCAGCCTGCTCCCCTCGGGGCAAAGTGACTCACGCCGACGGAACGGGCCAGATGAGGCTCTACACCCCGTCCGTCATCTCGGCGCTGCAAAGGCACCTGGCGGCCGTCGATCCCGAGTTGGGGGGGCCGCTCGAGAACTCGGTGCGCGAACCCTCGCCGAGCGAGTTTGCGCTTACCCCTCTTTGGCCTGACTCATTGGTCTTCTCTCTCCAGGATGCGGCGCCGGGTGGCGTGTCCTCCCACTGGGAAGCCCGACTTCTGCAGGGTTCCGTCATGTTGGCGGCGCCGGGCCCGTCTGGCGCATCGAGCATCGACCCACTCACCTTGGCCGCGTTTCAGGATACGGGCTGGTATGCCGTCAACACCAGCCGGGCACAGAATCTGGTCTGGGGAAAAGGTAAGGGACCTCAAAGTCGTGCTTGTACAATATGTCAGATTGTTCATTTTCAGGATAAAATAGCGTCATTCATTGAATTGTCTTACTTTGTCTTTCTCATGAATTGAGTGAAAACTAATTCACCAATTATTTTGTCAAATTTGAGAAGAGCTCAATTAACGCTGGGTGTGACCGCAATATATCGCATCTCTTCGTTTTAGCAAACGTCGAAACGCGACTGTCAACAACAGCGCTGCAGGATTTATGTGTTTGTTCAAACAAGGCGCCTGCTTTCTAGTTCTATCATCGTTATTATTCAGTTTTAGTATTTCTTGGAATTGATGTATTCATCATCGATAATTCAGTATAAAAAATCACTAGTAACTCTGGATTTTTTTTTATTATTATTGGAGTGAACCCCCCATTCAGATTTTTTTTAACAATTAATTTAGTTCGATTTGATTCACCAATGATTTAATTAAATAAGGAAAGAATTTGATTAAATATTCACCAATCAAATATAAATGCATTCTGGTTTTAGGATTCATTCAGTCATAATTTATATGCAATTTGTAAGGTTTTATATATATATATATATAATTATTGAATGTGGTATTGGCATGTTAATGCATGAATGAGTACATACAGTACAACCAGTTTTAGTTTAAAAACAAAACCCAAAAAATCTAAATTCATGTAAGGGATGTTTACAAAACTTGGGTTCATATTCATGCTCAGTGAACCAAATGATAGAAAAAGAGGACTCGCCATGAATGGGATTTTTTTTTTTAATTTGTATTTTTTTTTAGGTGAAGGAGCTTTGTTTGGTTCCAACTTGACCTGTTATGACAACTCGTCATCCTTCTTCTGCACCGGCAGGTGGACATGACGTGCCATTCGGTTACTTCTCTCCTGTGTTCTGAGTTCAATTATAAATTGTAACCACGTTTGTCTGTCGCTCTAGTGGACTCGGGTGCCATCATTTACATCTCCACAAAGGTCAGTGCCTGACTGATGCCCACCTGGACGGCTGTCGCATTTACAAAGCTCTTGAGAACCGAGTGAGTACCTCTGGCGAAGGTTCACTGAAATAAATTATTATTATTTTTTTTTTTAATTAATTAATGCTTGTGTTTCAGAGTGAATGCTGGAAAAAAGAAAACGAGAGGCAGTCAGGTGACGAGCGCCAAGGCGGGGAGGTCTACGGCTCAGGCAGCCGTTGTTTCTTCTCCAATCTAACCACACTCGTATGTACATGCCAGGCAGCCCCACAATGACAACCTGAACACAGAGTTTTGAAAATGTATTCAAAATAAAATGCGAAGAAATCACTTTCAAAATACCGTGCATTGGCCATGATTTGGGGAAAAAAGCAGACACAAACCACGTTGAAGTAAAATGAGGACTTTTATTGAGACAAAAGTAGTGCTTGGTGTGCAATTTGTGGCATCTTTGTGTGAAGGAATCGCGTTGAAGTGATTTGTGATGTTTCATGGAGACAAATGGTGCTTTGCTTACATCCTGGGGCTGCTTCGTGTCAAGGAACAATGTTGAAGTGAGCTGAGGATTTTCTTTTTGAGGAGAAATTGTGCTTTGCTGCCATCTTGTGGCATCTTTACTGCCATCCTGTGGCATCTTTGTTCCAAGGAGCAATCTTGAGTACTCTGAGGAGTTTTATTTTTACAAAATTAGTTCTTTGCTTCCATCTTGTTGACAGTTCTAAATCTTTTTGTGAGGAGCTCTGCGGATTTTTACATTTTGCGGCAGGGCTTGGAGAAAAGAGAGAGCAAAGACTAAATTTAAATAAGGTAAAAGGTGATTTCTTAGTTATGTATTTGTACTAAATAAAAAAAGCTCCACATGTTGCATGTTGTTTTATGTGTGCTGAATTTTATGGCAAAAAAAAAGAATTTATTCCAATAATAATATCATGTAGAAAAAGTGAAACACAGTGAACACGTTTCACATGTCCAGCATAACAACGCCAGAATGTATGAGAACGCGACCTCCTTCGGGGTCCCGTATTGACTCCATAACTGAGTCCGGTACCCCAAACACAAAGGTGTCAAAGCGTCACAACTGACTGCATCCTCTTTTTCAAACAGAACCACAGTCAGCTCATAGTGACGGGGCGCTGTTACAGACACAGGTGCACTGGATTAAACCGCTACCAAGTCCAGGTGCTGGGCTCCGACTGGTTGGACTGCCCCGCAGGAGGCAGCATTCAGGTTAGCCGCTGCAAAGTGGACCAAAATGATTCTAAAATGTTAAAATACTCGACTTGACGCTTCTTCCTCTGCCCTTTACATACTTAAGATAAGAGGATACCATGGTTCCGTTTTCTGCCCGGACAAGAGGTTGTGTCTGGACTCTGACGACAGTCCTCCCTCAGAGGCTGAGGATGTTTTCCCCACAGGGCAAGTGAAGTGTTTTTCTTCATACAACCCTGTATTTATAGTCAGTTTAATGAAAGACTTTTTTTTTTTTTTTTTTTTTGTCTCAAACCAGTCAACCGAATGAGACGTTACTCCAGGACGACACCCGGTCAGCATACAAACCTGCCGCAGACCCCTTGATCACCACTGTGTTCTGTGTTTTGGCAGCACTGGGTGTCCTGGTTCTCGGTTTGACGAGTACCAGGTGTACCTCCTGCAAGGTTCGGATCCATGCGGCTTCTGGCATGTTGAATTGCTGAGATCATCTTCCTTCCAGTTCAGTGTTTAAAAAAAAACAACAAAAAAAACGCATCTAGTCATTTGTGGTCAGTGGCAGAGCTAGACTTTTCTCCCTGGGCTGGCCAAGGCTATCTAAATTTGGAAACGTTATCAAAAGTCAACACACACACACACACACACACACACACACACACACACATTTTTTGTATTTTTTTTTCTGCTGGATGTAGTAAAATGGTCTTTGAAACAAAGCAGTCCTTCATGCTACGTTGTCTTCCAAAATTCCGGAGGACCGTGAAAGCACCGTTTTGCGTAATTGTTTATCGAAAGGTGATTGGTGGAAACCCAGGAAGTTGCAATCTAGATTAAGAATAGATAACCTGGTGTTTCTCACCCACAAATGACCCAACCTGTACAGTTGTTACGGACTGTGTCAACACATTATTACTATTATCATCATACGATGTATTACTATTAACTTTTTTTTTTACTGTCAAAGAAAGGCTTATAAAGCGGATTTACATGGGACGGGAGAAGAGAGCCAATCTCTTTTTCGTCAATGGATGCTACAGCTTCGAGTTGCTTTCAATTTAGCTTGTAGCAGACGTGTGCACATTTTCAGCATGACGTCCTTGATCCACTGGTGAAAAGGACACTTTGATTCGCTGCTCTTCCATCTATAACTGCTTCAAACAACAAAGTGTATGCAGGAAAGTGGTTCAGATTGCACGATTGTCTCTGTCTTTTGTGTTGTCTTATTTTGTCATTTTATGTTAACTTTTCTTTTGCATGTTGCATGTTGTCTTGAGAGGGAAGAAATTTCATCTGTGCTGCACATTTGACAATAAAGTTGTACTTGCCTAGATAAATCTAGCAACTCTTGTTCAGGAAATGTCTCGAGTATTTTTTTCTTACACTCTTGCGACGATTTTTGCACGTACCTCCTCCTGTTATTCTACAAGACAAACATTGCATAACGCGTGTGTTACGGGGTTCCCACAATGGAATTAGTATTTTCTTTCAGATGCGCGGAGTTAGTCGGTGGTTTTTGAATTTTCGAATCGCAGATCGGGTCCCTGAACGTCTCAGCATCGACACGACGTGTTTTCTCCTCCTCCATTAGCCCGCCTCGTTTCCTTCCATCTTCGGCTTTGACTCGCTGGCCCATTTGACGGACGCGACGGTGTAACGCACAAGTCCCGCTCTTTGAGGTTGGGGAAGCAAAAAAAGACGACGACGTTTGAGACCAATTCGACCGAAACGGGACATTTGCTGCCACTTTTTTCCGTCGTCGTCTTCGAGCACGCAGTATGGATCCAATGACTCAGTCTGCCCAGATATCCTCGTCGCAGGGGCTCGCCGATGGACAAAATTCAGCTTTGAAAGAACCGAGGCCCTCCGGTAAGAAACAGTCTGAAGCCATCACCTTAAACGAAATTTTTGTTTTTAACATATTATTTGATTCGCGAGCGTCTGTTTCCGTCATTCTTTTTTTGTTTTGTCTATTGTCGATGGCCATTGTCATGTATTGACATTAATGGGTGAACCTGTTGTCATATATGATTAAAAATAGCACCAGCGGGGTTTCGACTCACGTTTAATATTTTTATTTGCTCAATTTTCGACTTGAACATTTTTTAATATAATTACTGGAGCATCTTTGTGCAAAATATTGCTTGTTATCCGCTGCGGGGGAGTAACAGGCAAGTGTTCCTGAAGGCAGCATCTCTTCAAGGCGCAGTACCTTCCTTCCCCATGTTTCTATGATTTAAAAAAAAAAAAGCTCGACTATTGGTATACAATACAATACATCTTTATTGATATAGTGCTTTCACAACAAAATAACAGTCAGGTAGCTGTCATGCGCTTGTTCATCAAGTAATTCAAACAAGCTACCGGTGTTTTCACCTCTGGCCAGAGAGGCTGCTCATTATTATTATTATTCTTATTTTTTTTTTCTTGTAAGGGAGTGGCAGTTTTCACCGTAACTCCAGGAATATTTCCATACAAATACAGCCTTCAAAGCCATGAAAAAAATCTTCCGTACACGCTTGGGTGTGGCATGCGATGCTAGCGATATGTCGCTAATTGGACTTTTTGATCAAAGTCCGGAAGTCGTGATGTCAAAGGATGCTCTTGCACATTGTGTCATCCCTTCTGTTTGTTTTGGAATATGTCAGAATGGAAGCTCAATTGATATTTTATTTCGCTCACCGTTATGGCCAAGTACCAGGTAGGCCTATTCTTCTTCTTACTGAAATGCGATCCCCCACTATAAGCAGCTGTCATCTTTCACCGCTCAGCTGTTCCACACATGTGTGTATTAGATACCAGGCACACCACAATGCGGTCTTTGCTTTAATCTATTGAACCATATTCCAAAATAGGTCATTGAATGTCATTTAAATGTTTGACTCCCGTCAAAATTCCCACCGACGGCCCTTTTTAAAACAACATGGCTGACTGAGTCGCCCCAAAACATGGATTTCAGGCACTCCCTTGCATTCTCAACGGGGATTATTCTCAAATGAGGTATGTGTACATACAGACATTCTAATAGTAACACAGTGGGGGGAAAAAGAAAGATTAATGACAAAGCGTTTTAAAACAGTCAAATGTTCTGCATGCTATAAGGATTTTCAATGGCTGAAAAAGCGCAACAGTGGTTCAAATCAAGCAAGCAACTCAAGTGTATTTCTAGAGCACTTGAAAACCACCACGGCTGTATTCAGCGTGCTGTACAAGAAATTATTCATACAACACAACAATAACTTCATAACAAAGACCGTAGAAAGCATAAAAACAGTCCAACTAACAATCAAGTCTCATGCTTAGTCAAACACCAAAGAATAAAAATGAGTTTTGAGACGAATTTTAAAGATGGGTAGCGAGGGGGGGTTTGCAGAAGGTCATTCCAAAGGGAGGGATCAGCAATGGAAAAGGCTCCATCTCCTCTGAGCTTAGTTCTTGGTACCTCTAGTAGCATCTGGTCCGCAGAACTGAGGCACCGGGCAGGGGCGGAGGAGCTCAGAGAGCTAAGGTGGGGCCAGGCCATTTCAAGATTTGAAAACAAATCATAGAATCTTCAAAAGAACTCGAAAAAGAGAGCCAGTGAAGGGATGCCAAAGTCAGAGTGAAGTGCTCCCTCTTTGTATGAGTACCAGTCAAGAGGCGAGCAGCAGCATTCCGGACCAACTGGAGACGCTTGATGGAGGATTGGCTCACTCCAAAATCAAGCGGATTACACTAATCCAGGCGCGATGTGACAAAGGCATGAATGACTTTTTTCCAAAGTGCTCTTGAGAAAGGAGAGGCTTGACTTGAGCCAGCTGCGTGGCTGTGGTGAAGCAGGAATTTCTGCGACAGACAAGTGGTCCACATACACCCCCCCCCCCCCCCCCCCCCCCCAAACAAACAGTAGGTGAAACGCGTTATAATTGTCAACAGGGCCGGTCGCAGAGGAAGTGGCACACTTAAAATGAGGACCTCATTTCTCCAACTGCATTGCATCAGAGGAAATCTGCCCACAGCGTACATTTCCCCTGCAGCCTGATTAAGACTTGACACAAATGAACGGCAAGTGCCCACATATAAACAGACAAGCATGCATGTCATTTCAACGGACACTTATCTGATATCACGGCGTTCATGACAGCACACCTCGGGATGTACCGATACGAAAATCGCCACAATATCGTCACCGTCAGGTCGCGATATGAAAAGCGGCACCTCTGTGAAATAGGCCAGGTTCTTCTTCGCTTGTGCCGTTCCCGCACCCTCGAGCGGTTAGTGTATTCGTGCCGTTCAATTTGAATTAGGCGCCAACGTTCAAGGCCCGCGCCAATCGACAAATTGACTCGATTCACAATGAGTGCGCGCACGAGCAAGGAAGTGCGTCAACATGGAGTGTCATTAGCCAAATGCCGCATTGTCAGGACAGTTTGCGCCACTGAGCCAATAGGAGCAGTTGACGGTAAAACGACTGGCGATTCCTATTTCTTTGTCGCCGCCGCCGCCATGTACAAAAACACAATATTGTGCTTTTTTAATTTTAGTATTATTTTTTAAGCAATATGGTGAGTTTTTATACCAATGGTGAGCTTTTTTTATTTTGCCGACTTCCCCGCAATCTCATGATAATCATCGCATAGTGAGGTACGTATTGTGGTCATGTCGTACGGTGAACGTTGGATGTCATTGCGTCTCAAAGCACACCGTCGGTATAAATGAAGATAAAAAAAGAAGATTGCACTGGTGCGTGTTGGTATGCGCTAAGTCACAAATGTAGCGTAATTATGCAACGGCATTATTTGTCTAATTAGTGCAAAGTGGGAAAGTTCATATTTTCCTCGTGACTGTCGTCTTTGAGTACGCCCAGCGCACCCAATTTATATCATCATGCTCACTGGTTGTGCTGTAATTTTGCCAAGGGGTTTTTGGTTTTTTTTTTTTCTTCATTTTATTTAATTTTTTAAATGGATGACCTGCTTTTTTTTTGTGTCTGGTCACACTACACTCGCAGTGGCAGATCCTTATCGGAATTTTCTCCCCATAAGAAAGGGCCTTGATTTCGATCTGACTACATCTGATTTGATTTTTCTTTCTTTTTTTTTTTTTTTCGAGACACAATTCCCTCATGTTGCAAAAACATGTCTTCAAACAACAGGGAATGAAATGAATTTAGGAAGTTGATCTGCCAGTAGAACAGACAAATGTTGACTTGATGTGAAAAGCCGAATTTGCCTTGATTCGACCTCTAAAACTTTGGGTGACGTTTGTATTTTTGCAGCGTCTCAACCTATGTTTAACCTTCTAAAGTGAACAGAATACGCTGTGACCTGCTTCCAAGTGAACAGCGGTGGCTTCACTTTTATAACCGTGTCGCGCCACCTCTGCCGAAAAAAGTCCATTGATCAATCTGGGCAGGGCTGCGGAAGGCTCCAGAACACCAGAGTCTTTTCCGCCTCCCGCTTGGATCATTTCACCCATGTCACCAAAGCGGGGGAGAAGCAATGACACAGCTCAGCGTTAGGCGCTTTGACAGCAGAACATCCAATAACACCTTCGGGGCAAAAAAAAAAAAAAAAAAAGCAGCTCTCTGTGATGTCTTTTAGTCCAAACGAGTGTGGGAAACCTGAGAGCTTACAAATTGAAGGTGTGGCATCTGGGGGCAAACGGCCTGAAGTGAGCCACGAGATGGAATGCCGCTCGGCAAGGGCGCACCAACCCCAACCTGCAAAGCCTGTACCGCATCCACGTGCCACGCCTCCCCCCCACCCCCCCGCCAACCCCCAAAAGGGAGTCGATGTGAAAGAGGCGTAGTAGTCATAGCTCTCCACGCATTCCTCGACATAAACAAGAATGCGGGACTTGCGGAACGCCAGCCAGCCCATTCAAAACATTTCATTGTCAGTCATCAAACTCGCCGGGGAACCGTGCGACGTCAGCACTATGACCTCGAGAGAAAGAGAGCAAAGAGGCCATTGTCCATTTTGGACTTATTTTTTTCATAAGACATGAAACGGTATCATCGGAGCTGTCATGCGCATGACCTTATTTTATTTTTTTTTAAAAACTGTTTATTTATTTATTTATTTATTTTGTCGTGCTCCATTTTTGCAACACAAGCCCGGAGAAAGAAGCTCTCAAATGGCAAAATGTGCGATTGGAACCTTCACAGGTGAAAAAAAGTCGGAAGATGACGGGCAAGAGTTGAACTAAGGACTCTGAAAGTCAAAATGAATTTGCAGTACTCAAAAATCCAGATCCCTGACAAGTCTACCCAAGTTGAGTAGCAAAGTCTTTGTACTTGGTTACTTCCTACCGTTGTAAAGCTGCATGTGCATGTCCGTAACCGTCGTCGTCGCGCATAGAGTCGAAAAAGTGAAGTGCTTCTGCACTGATACGATGCAGTGGGCCGGGGTTTCATTGTTCTCTTTGCATTCACCACTCTTCTGGCCTTTTGTTTGTTTGTTTTGTTTTGTTTTCATTTTGTTCCAGATTCCTTTCTTTCCTCCTCGCCTGTAGCTCTCATTCAGTCGTCACAAGGCAAGTGTATGCTTCTCTTAATGCTGCTCGCCTGCTTCTCCATCTTTCGAGTGCCCTCGCTCCCCAAAGTCCGAACTCCACTCTTTGCCCGTAGCGCTCTTGCCGCGCCCTTCTCGCCAAAGTCACAAGTCTCGAATCGTGTGACGCACCCAAAAAAAAAAAACAACAAAAAACAATAAAGTGCCTCATTCCGATCACATGAATCTATGTCTTGTTGCGCGTCTTTACAAACAAGACGTGGGCCTCTGCAGCTGCCGCGAGTCCTGTTTCAGTCCTTATCGCCTGCGAGTGAACATGATTGAGGTCAGCGGGCCCGACTGCAGGTTTGAGATAATCCCCAGATTGCCACCCTTATTTTAAGACGGCAAGAGGAGTTGACGCTCCATTGGCCGGGGTAGGAACCTAAAAATGGATCAGATTGGCGTCCGCAGGGGGTTGGTCCCACCCTCCTCCTTACCCAGTATCTGACCCCGCCCGACCCCCCTCCATCAGACAGAGCGGCCAGGCGACCCCAAGGGAGGAAGAGTGGCACGGTAGAGATCCCCCCGCCCCCACGGCCCAGTGAGGACACAGGCCCCCGCCCCTCCTGGCCGCCAACTCGCCCTCCAGCCATCTCGCTATCTGCTTGTGGCTTTGCACATGTCACGCTTCCTTGCTTTGACCTCGCTTTTAGTGAAACTCTTTGATCAGCTGCTTTTCACCATTTAGTGCCATCAGTAGGGCTGCGTAGCGCCTAGCGATGCTAGCCTTAGACGGTAGATGGACCTGAAGGTTTCTTGTTGACACTCTTCAGTATGATGCCAGAATGAAATGCTGTGACTGAACGGTAAGGACGCTTTGATTTCATTTTGTGCATCTACACAACGGCAACATTCAAGGAACACTGCAGTCATGTCTGTCAAACGCCAATCCATAATCCCAAATGACTCGAAATAAAATGTCAAACTCATTTTACGACAGTGCCGTTAAAAATTAATAGCATACAGATTGGATCTCAACAAAATACTCTCGGGAGTGTGAGTGCGTTGCTGCTTTGCAACCCCTCAAAATAGCAATTACTACTTTCCTGTTAGACATTTTCTGGCATTTTTTTGACTCACTGAGACATAGACATAGTCATTGTTGTCAGTATGTATATCACAAACAACTCCAGTTTTAGTTGGGCACTTTGTATACCTTATATTAAGCCACTAGCTGTAACTTGGACCACGTCTCGCGGTGGTCCTGATCTTTCTCTGCATCACCTTGAGAAGTTTACCACTCTGCTGTCTCTTCTTGGCTTCTTTGATTCCTCCATCATGCCGTAAAGTCGGCCGATTACCAGCTAATGGCCAACGCTGGCTGCGGGGTCTTTTTTGGTTGTTTGGTCAGACTCTTGTGGAAAGAGCACCAAACATCCATCGAGGTCAGTGTTTCGTTGAAGAGCTCAGAAATGAATAAAACGGAAATGTATGAATACGCCCAAATACTTCCGATTAAGCGATGCCGCTTCTTGCCATAATTGCAGCATCGCCCGGTGCTGCATTTGTCTGTTGGTCAGCTGGAAAAGGTACAACGAAGGAATAATTCACATTTTTGTGTGCAGGACACACGTGTTGAATAGTGAGGGAACTTTATTGCACATAGTTCTGCACATCCAAGGGACAAGGTGCAGTTGTTTTGTCGGGTCTGCTGCTCCATGATCTCATTCTGACTTGGGTGCCCCATGTCAGTTGCCTCTTCATCGCAGCTGCAGTCCCGCGAAACGAGAAGGCCCATCCCGTGCGCTCATCGACCTCACTTTCCCATGAGCCGATGCATGAATGCTTGGGCTGCAGTAGCAGTTAAGGCCATACATAGTTAAGAACATCACAATTGTGTGGGAGTTTCGATGTGATCTGTATGACTTGGCCTGCTTTCTCTTCTCCTTTGCTGTCGTCCTCCATGCGTGTCAATGCAGACGTAAAGACGGTCCTGGGTTCCAGCAGGCCTAGGGAAGGGGTCGCAACGACCCTTCGCTTTTCTTCTCAGCCGGGCTCGATTTCGCCCGATCATTATGGAGGCGAGGCGGAGTCCGAGTCTCTCATAAAGATGTCTCCGGTTTCTGAGCGCATCAAGGCTCTGGAAGCGCTCGTCGCCAAAAAGGAGATGGATTTTAGAAACGACTGTTCCTCGCATCACAAAGTTCGCCACCATGACAAATCTCCCTCTGACGTCGCGAAACCTCACAAGCGTTGCGTGGAGGAAAACACGCCGACGGTTCCGACGAAAAGAGGCTCTCCTGATCAGGAATCGCCTGAATCGCCCTTTGAGGTACTGGGAGAGTTGCGACAAATTGAGTTTGAAGAAACGGAAGCTTGGATGAAAGCTCACCGACCGCCGGTGCCAGACTTGCATGCCGCGGGCTTCGTTAAAGGCGCTGGTTCTTCCGAATTTAACCCGACCTTGGAAAATCCTGCTTTCGCGACACCTTCTGGCCTCCCCGATGCTTTCGTGGACTCGTCACATGATCCTCCAAAACTGAAGGAGCCGCAGGAAGGGACCTGCGCTGGGCAGGCAGACTTTGATCATAACTTTCTGCCAACAGCCGACATGTGGGCTCAGCAGGACAATTGTGGTGTTCAAGTTTCGCCGGAGCTTGATTCGGCGCAACCAGCTTTACCTCTGCCTCTTTCCGGCTTTGAGTCGCCATGTCCTCCAGACGAGGGCATTTTGGATGCTCCCGATGACAAGAGGACCACTTGGACTGGCGATCTGGAGCCTGTAGAGGCCAGGGAAGTAGATAGTTCAGGGGAGTCTGATGAAACAGTTATTGAAGATGATTTCACTCCTGACATCCCCTCTCCAAAATCAGAACCACCATTGGATGACATCATCTCTTCTCCTGCCGTCTCCTTCCCCGATGCAGAAAGGGTGACGCCGCCGGTTAGATCAGAAAGAAAGCTCATGCAGGTCCCCACCATTAATGTCATAGAAACCGAAGAGCCGAACTGCAGTGATGATGAGATGGAGATTGAATTTGAGGAAGAAGACGAGGAGGTTGTCAACGAGGGACCAAAAACTGCAGACTCTGCGCCAGAGGATGGTCATGAAGCACCTAACAGAAGACCTGTTGAAACGGAATTCATTGAAGGCTATTCTCCTCCTTCCTCTCCCGTCGAATCTGATGATGAACGCAACCCTCCGGAAAAGATCCTCAGTCCTCAACCAGATGCATTCTTAGAGAAGGTAGAACCGAATGAGTCTGGATTTGACTTATTCCCAGAGCAACCTGAACAATCAAAAACTGCTCCCTGTTCTTTGATAGACGGAAGCAAAGACATTCACACACCCGGCAATGAGGAAGAGTGGTCAGATGAAGCTCGACAAAATATTGCTGGACAAGACCAAGCTGATGTTGATCCTGCCCGGTGCGCACCCCAATGCGAAAAGGACTTGGCTGTCTTCTCGAGAACTAGTTTTATGCGAGGCGATACTTATGAGGGGCAGTCGTTTGAGTACGACGAGTCGTCGTCTCCCTTCTGCGAGAACGAGCTCATGACAAAAGGAGCCAAAGACGACTTTCTTTCAGGCTCTGCTCAAATCGATACTCCAACGCAGGACGCCTTGCCGAACCGTGACAAAGCGAACGCGTCTGCCGGCCGTCATTTCGCCGGCGACCCGTCTGACGTTTCAGATGCGACGGTCCCAGAGAACATCTCCGCCTCTGAGCCCGTCGATAGTTTTGTGGAGTTCATGAGAGAGTGTCTCAAATCGAGGGAGGGCGAAGAACCGGATGACTCTCAAAGCGTTCCCTCCGATGACGAGGACGGTCTGCAGTCAACTCCAATTGTGTCGATGGATATGGAAGAGGAGCAACCGACAATCAGTCCTCCCAAACAGTTGGGCAGCAGTCAAGTGGCCGAAGAAGAAACACCCCCTCCTCGATCCAAGACTCCAGAAAATGAGAACGCCGCTTGTATCCAGCAGGCTTCTGTTACCCCGCTGACAAGCGTGCCGTGTTCGCAAAGCAACATACTTGGCACCGACTGCACTTATTCTGAAGCGGTAGATGCCGTTGACCTGTGGGTGGCGGAGGCCTCTCATCTTGCCGAGCATGTCTTGATGGCAATACTAACCCACGTATCAGGTAATGCTAATTCTTTTGGCTAGTTGCCTGGTGGCTGTCACTGGCTGCGCGTCGCACCCGAGTCGCTGGATTTGCTGTGGCATAGAGAGGTTATTTAAGTCGCTGCTGTTCGGTGGGACTATCTGGTGACAACGCACAGACGTAAAACTATGACAACAGTACGGCCCAGGGCAAAGTACGAGTCCAAAGTACTCCCGGCCTGTCTGCAAACAATCTTACATAGGTCGTCTTCTCTGCTCAGTTTGTTAGTTTCTAAATGTTGGAACCTCACGACTTCAGTGGCAATGCCACGTTGTTTCCTGATGGTGATCGGGCTCATGTTTTTTTTTTTCGGGGGGGGGGGGTTCTGGGTTTACGAATGAGAATGGACCTCGTCAGACCTTGTGCTTGCGGTCTGTCTTTTGCTTAACTTAGTCCCGTTTTTGTACGTCTGTGTCCCTGTACACCAAGAGTGTCTTGTGGTTGCAGTGTACACTTCTTATCCCCCTTTTCCACCCCCCCCAAAAAAACCTTGGTGCTCATTTGGCGCCAGTGTTGGTGCTTAACAAGTTCTTACGAAGAATGGGTTTTGTTTTTCCACCTGCAAAGGGCCAAGTAGGAGTGACGTCATCGTAAAGCGTCCCAAGCATCACTGCTGATGTCGACGTTTACCCAAGAGCGCATACGCTATTCATAATAATAACACAGTATTGCGCTGTTAGCATCTTCTAGGTAACTTAGCATAGCATCGATTCTACTTCTATGTAACTGTCAGGGACATGCAATCAGCAAACGCTTCTATCTTTCCTCATCATTGTAGATGATCCCGATGCGAGCCGCGAGTCGGCGATCGCATGCTAGCCACATCTGCGGTCGCTATTCTGGTGGGACAGCAATTGTGCCGGAGTTCACCGCTCAACATTTGGTGCAAATCGTTCGTGTGTTCAGGGAGTCATTCCTCGACATCTGTGACCGTCGTGATAACCCCGCTCGCCGCCCCCTGACGTAGTTGCTGCCAAGGTCCCTAAGCACCAGTTCCAAGCACCAGCGCGAGAGCCGATTTTGGTGGTGGGGAAAAAAAAAGAATTGGCGCTAACCTGGGAACTCGCCCAGAACTAGCACGAGCACAAGCGCGGCAACGGAAAAGGGCCCGAAGCGCTTCACGGTGTACTGCGAAAGCGGGCCACCGCAACCAGAGCGCAGACGATAAGAGAGCAGGGCCACACAAAGAGAGCAAACAGCCACAGTTAGACAGGCCAATCCGGCTCCCGGTTAGCCTCTCGGCAATCCGGGAGCGCACGCGCACGCACAAACACATGTACTTGCGCAGCCCTTTTTTTTTTTGTGTGAAGAGCTCATTTTTGAGCCCTTAAGAATTCACATCTTTGGCCAAGTTGACCCTCTTCACTGCGACGATGCCGTCAAAATTATCCCTTGGCGGTATGCACTGTTGACGAAACCTCACTGTTGGCTTATAGCGGCCTGAGTCAGGAACAATAGAGCCCTCTTTGTTTCCCTTTGAGCCCCGTCAACAGTGCTGCTGCTACTGCTGCTCGCGAGCTGCTGCGGCTGAACACGTAATCTCTTTTGCATGATCTGAATTATTTAAACGCGTTACCTTTGGACAGCTTTTTTTTTTTTTTTTTTTTTTTTTTGGCGGGGGTGTTATTTGTCTTCAGTTCTTCTGGTTTATTCGGTGCAGCCAAAGTTGTGTTTCTCAAGCTTGCGAAATGAATTGCACAAAATGATGTTGCAGCATAAAAAAAGAAGAAAAAAAACGCACAGTCGTGCAGACCCACACAGCTCTGGCGATACAAACAAAAACCAATGACTCCTCCCTGCCCATCACTTTGAGCCAATTTAAATTTCTCAAATGAAATATGATGTGACGTATCATCAAAGGTGAAGATTGTCTTTTTATTTTTCTCCCAACAAATTGCATATTACAGGATGAGGTGGATACGAGGAAGCAAACGTTTTCAATATGCTGCTATGACGTCATCATTTTCAGAAGATGGACAACTTTTGACCCCGCTAAAATGTCTGTTTTTAAAAGTATGAGTTTGAATTGAGCGTGACCTTTGTCACCAAAATAGGAAACTGGAATTCCTACTTGTACGATCATTTTTGTTAAATTGCTGTTCGGATGATGAGGGGGCGCCTCGGATTGGAACGGTTTGAGACTCTTGAGCTAAAAATATGACCCCCCCCCCCCCCCCCCCCCCGACTTGCCCCTTTGGGCACGCAAACTAAAAGCCCCAACCACCAGACGCAAGCTGTCTGAAGGCACCGAGTCACATGACGCCTCCACCACTCGACACGAGGCTTTTGGATTGAACGCACGCACGCCGCACACACACACCTTTATTTCCCTCCGGCAGTTTGAGAGCGCCAACCCACTCTGACGTTACGCAACTCTGGCACAGAGGCAATCATTTCTGCATGCGCGACTCTCAACAAACATGGACGGGGCCCCCACTGCGACTCCGCCGTTCAACCGTGCGTGATTTCCTCGGGCCGCTTGTGCCGATTTCCATCCCGATGCGCAACACGCTCACCCTCTACTTTGTCCGCAGTCAAGGATCTGATTCACTGGCGGGACCCCAAGAAGTCGGGCTTGGTGTTCGGCCTGTCCATGCTGGTGCTGCTGTCGCTGGCCGCCTTCAGCGTCATCAGCGTGGTCTCCTACCTGCTCCTGGCGCTGCTCTGCGTCACCATCACCTTCCGCATCTACAAGTCGGTCGTCCAGGCCGTGCAGAAGTCCAGCGACGGCCATCCCTTCAAGTAAGCGCCCTCGCCCCGGCCAGATCGCCTTTCGCTGAAACGGAAGCCACGTAAGGTGACGGCCAGCTCCGAAGGGCTATCGCGTCGACCACTTTTCCGCTTTGTTCCTGGCATCGGCTGCCGTGTGACGCGACCTCCCCCAGGGCATCTATTTCGAGGCGAACCTCCGCGCTGTCAGCTGGGGTTCTGTTACGGATGTAATACAGCCCCCAGAACCCCCAGTCACAGTTGACCACGACCATATCCGGCCTTTTCTCATTTTCGTAGCCAAAGCAACCGTCCAAAACAGAACTCGCCTCATGGACCGGCGCCGGCGGTTGGGGACCACTGAACTAACGGACTTGCAAAGCCTGGTTTCAAAAGCTCATCTATTCCTCCTCCCTGCAGATCGCTGATAGATAAGGATGTCAGCATTCCCCCCGAGACCTTCCGCAAGCACGTGGACACCAGCCTGGCCTACATTAACCGAGCCCTGAAGCAGATGAGCCGCCTCTTCCTGGTCGAGGACCTCGTGGACTCCCTAAAGGTGAGCCGCTTTTCTGCAAGTCCACTGAAGAGGGGAGGCCATGCGGAGCGACACCACCCCAGGAGGGGGGTGCGGAGGTCACACCGCCCCATTTGAGACTTGACTTGGACTTTGACAGCACTGATTCACATTTCACTTTTTCCAGTCAGATGCGGCCACTTCACAATTTAGCCGACCGAAAGCTGGTCAAATATTGACTCGAACGCAACAGTCAATGTGTGGATTCCGTTGACGAACACCGCCGCGACAGTTACGGAATGCAAGTGGTTAACGTGACACCCCCAAGCCCCACACCTCGACCAATCCGACCCCCTTTTGTACCAAAGAAAAATAAAGGTCCAGCGCTGTGCTTAGTTGGCGCTTAACACGTTCATACAAAGAACGTGTTTGGTTTTCGGCCAAGAGCCAAAGTGGGAGTGACGTCATGACATCATCGTAAAGCGTCCAAAGGTCACGTCGACGTTTACCCAAGCGTGCCTGCGCTATTAATAATCATCATCATGCGCTGTGAGCATCTGCTGAGCAACTTAGCATAGCATCGATGATACTTTGATGTAGCATATAACAGTCCGAGACATGCAACGCTTTGCTAATCTTTGGAGATGATCCCGAGGCTGGCCGCGAGTCGGAGATTGCGTGCTAGCTGGGCACATCCGTCGTCGCTTTTTTTTTGGGTGGGACAACAATTGTGCCGGCGTTTGCCGCTCAACAGTTTGTGTCCAGGGAATCATTCCTCGACATTTGCGATCGTCATGATAACCGCCGCCCCTTGACGTAGTTGGTGCCATATTGAGCAAAACTGCCGCATATGCAAAAAACGGGGTGACTTGGTTGATGGCTTTCTTGAAATTTATTGGGGGCGGGGGTTGACTTGCCTTGGGCACTTTCTTCAACTTGAACATTGAGACTTGTGACTTGGGAACGCGCCGTTTGGCTCCAATTAATCAAGAGACCTCCAGAATGTCCTTTAAAATCCAATTGAATTGACGGCAAGTGATGCGATTAGCTGCCCGGTGGACAATGATGTTCCCTCGACTGCGGCTCAGTGATGGTTGTGCTTCTCCCTTTGCGCAGTTGGCCGTGGTCATGTGGCTGCTGACCTACGTGGGCGCCGTCTTTAATGGCATCACCATCCTCATCCTCGGTAAGACCCACGACGGAGGCGCCCTCAAGTGCGCCGCCACCGCCAATTGATCAACTGAACTCATTTGTATGCCGTCCGTCTGTCTTCAAAATACAAGCATGTCACTAAACATTATGTGCTGTCTGATTATCGTCTTCGAGTGTGCCCCGGGTCGGTTCGAGCAATCTAAACCGTGCCGTTTTTCAAGCATGTGTATTGGAAACTAAGGAGCTCGTCTTCATTTTGTGTACAAAAAGCACTGGAAGTAAAAAGAAAGGAAAGAAAGAATGTAGGAAAATGATGAAAGCAAGATGATCCTTTTGCGGGACGGCCGAGAACAAGGTCTTTGCCGACTTTGCTCTGGTTGCAAAATCCCACTCAGTGACTCGGTTTGCCCTTCTCCGCAGCGGACATCCTGCTCTTCGCCGTGCCGCCCATCTACGAGAAGAACAAGGTGAGTGGCCAACGCCACGCTGTTGCCAAATACACAAATACAGTCCAGACACATCCAAGCCACAAGTGTGTTGTCATCTGACTTGCGTTGATGCCACAATTGTTGGGTCGGATTTAGTGAATGAAAGACTGCCCGTTAAATGTCGACTAAATTGGAATTTGCGTATTTCAAGGTTCATGTGCTTTTGTTTTAGCAGTTTGGTTGATTGCGAGAGGACCCTTAAAAAAACAACACGGGTGTCAAAGTCATTTCGCATTGTGGGCCTCGGTCGATGTCATGTGGGCCGTACCATTAAAATGATACCATACTCTGCTATAAATCACCAAAATATCATGTATTTCCTTTGTTGGCAAAAAGCTTTGTCGCCTCTCGGGACATACAAGTTCAGCCGCCTTCATCATGCATCGTTTAACAAAGTCACCGTCAAATTACGGCTTTGATGCTAATGCTATTCCGCTAGCAATTAGGTGGCTGGCTTTTACTGCTGTGTTGGGTCTGTCTCAGTGACAGACTGCGACTGCTGTTGTCTTCTTCTCTGATCAAAACAGTGTTCCCCTAGCGGATGATCCATGAATTGCAGCTTATTAAAAATATTCATTCTTTCTTTTATGTATTTTTCTCACTTTTAAATTATCCTGCGGGCCTGATCAAACCTCCTTGGGGGCCAGTTCCGGCCTGCGCGCCGTATTTTTGACACCACTGGCATAGCATAGATCACAATCATAATATCGAGGAGGGGGTGAATGTCAACTAGGTTATTTTTTTTCAAAATGGTTCAGTCCTTGTCAAAAAGAAACTGTCAGTGATGAGCTCACCCGAGGCTGTGCGTCCACGCGTGTGTGCGCCTCTTCTGTTTGCGTGCGGGGGGGGGTGCATCATTTGTTGTCGACACTCACAAAAGGCTTCATTTGTTGTGTCCGCAGACGCAGATCGACCACTACGTGGACCTGGCTCGTACCCAAATCAACACCACCATCGCCAAGTAAGCGCCGCCGCGCCGCTGCCGTCTTTGGGTTTCACCGCAAATATTTTACTGCCCCCCCCCCTCCCCCCACAGGTTGCAAGAGAAACTCCCCGGCGCCGTGAAGCGCAGCAAAACCGAATGATCCATTTCCAAAAACCCCAAAATAAAACTCCTCCCACTCATCTCGGTCATAGGCTCCCCACGCGCCACCCGTCGACACTGAACCTTAGTAGGTAGCAACCAAATCTCTCTTTCATGTCAGAACTACTGCGCTATTGTACCAGAGCGTGAACTAGACTGAATCTCTGGCCTGGTTTCAAGGGTGCATGCGAGCAAAATGTCTGTACTAAAACCACACCGTTTCCCTCGTCTAAGTCAGGAAGACATTTGAAAAAGTGCATCGATGAATACTAACCTTTTCCTCGGCGTTATTCTCGTCGCTATGCATTAATTGTCTTTTTTTTTTTTTTTTTTTTGGTGTAGAAGTGATTTTGCTTGTCGTTCACGTGTGTTTTTGCACTGCTCTTTTATTTTGAAAACGCCGGCGAGCGGGGGCTGGATTGACAACAATAAACGCTTTTGCAACACTCAGCCGGCTGTGGTGATTTAGTCTAGTTCACGCGGGCCTCGCTCGAATGGCGAGTTTATTCCAGAGCCGACTCGCCACAATTCGGCGTGCTCGTCGAACGGCTGTCTTACCTATGATGGTTTTTTTTCTTTTCACCACTATGACATTTCTGTGCACTGCATGTCACAAGTGAGGCAAAACTGCACCGGGCGACATCTGTGCGACTTGTACTACTCGGGACATGAGAAAATTCTTCTCGTTCAGATTTCCGTCGGCGTCGCAAATTGTACTACTCGTGCCCACTTGAGCATTTATTCAATATCCTACCGTGTGTGCGCAATTCAGTGCATTAGAACGACTTTCTCACTCGTGATGATTTTTGACGACTGTGATATTTTGGCACTCTTGCAGCGACAGCTTGCGTGCTACTAGTACGAGTAGTGACAGAAGATTGGACGAGAGCTCACACTTGGCTAGTTTCCGTAGTGGCTAAGCAAGGAATTTGTGCACGATCCTACGAGTGCGCTGACGCGCCCACTTACTCGTGCACTTTGTCCACGCTCGTAAAGCAATGCAGCGCACTAGTAGAAGCAAGTAGAGCAGACAAGTAGAAGTTTTGGCGGCTGATGTTTTTTTTCCCACTTGTTTGCACGCTTGTAGAACGACTGCAGGCAAAATATCTGCGCACTACTGCCGCTATTAGTGATGCACCAGATTTTAACGAGGATTTGATCTCGATGACAGTTTTAGCACACGAGTAGGACAAAGGCTGCCATTTTTAGACCCTTCTTAACCCTGGGGGCGAAATAAGTAAAAATAACGATATAATTAATTGTACATGGATTCTAAAAAAAAAAAAAAAAAAAGTGAAAAAACCTCCTTGGAATGCGAATTAACTCGAATGAATTAATAGGAGCCTGTAGTTGTACTAGTGTGCAGAAATGTCATCCGTTGGTGGGGGAAAAAAAGCTTTCAGGAAGACATGGCTGTTCGTGTAGGACGCTAGTTTGTCTGATGAGTGACGGCAAAGTGTGTACTTGTCCAATAAATGCTCAAACGCTTTGCATACACTTGTGCATGTATATACTACTACTACTACTACTACTACTATGGAAATTCTGAAGACGTGGCAGTTAAGTCATTGCAATTTAAAGATGCGATAATAGTGTGAGTAGCTTTTGGAGGGTTCTTTTTTGTGGGGGGGGGGGTGTCACATTTTTGCAGGCCTCGCATAGTTCTAAACCCTATTACATTTTCTATTGACTTTATCGTTTTTGGTATTACCAGTAGTGTTCGTATCGTCGTGCGTTGGAGCTGCGAAGGAAAACGAGACGTGTTTGTGTTGGCCGCCCGTGACGTTTCATGACTTAGACCGCTCCGACATTCCCCACCCGCTTTGCATGCTCACGGATGCCGTGTTTGACCCCCCTCACCCCCCACACCCCAATTCCTGCTGTCTTTATCATTCGGCTCAGTTCCGGCAGTACTTGCCGAAAGGCCTCGTACGTTTCTCCTTTCTTGTGCGAAATAATGAATGAAGCCGCTTTGCGCAAAGCATGCTGATTTTCATCGGGTATTCATCGTGTGTGTGTGTGTGTGTGTGTGTGTGTGTGTGTGTGTGTGTGTGTGTGTGTGTGTGTGTGTGTGAGAGAATGAGAGGGAGAGAGGCATGCCGTGTTTCTTTTGTTGCACTTGATGTCTTTCTCTTAACATGTTTAGCTCTTTTGGTTCTACCTTTGTTGTTTTGTTTTTTTTGTTTGGTTGTTTTTAGCGAATGATGTCACAGGAGAGAAAAATGCTGGGGGCAGTATGTGGTCTCTGTACTCATGTTCAAGTGGAATGAATAAAAACACGTCAAAGGACTGTTGGCGTCTACTGTTTTGATTAAAAAATTATGATTATTATTTTAATTTACCGATGATGTTTCGATCCGGACAGAACAATTATGTTCTTCAACTAGATGGCGGGAGGTACATCATTAAGTTGCGAATCAACCAACAGAATAAGTCGTGGCACATGCATGGTGGGTAAGTTCATTTGTGATTTTTTTTTTTTTTCAATAATGTTTAGGAAACATCCGAGTTGAAGAAATGCATCCCAAAATTCATTTGGTGTCGTAATGCAAGCCAATGTAACGTGTTTCATAACAGGACCAAAGTCATAAATCACAAACGCTGCGTTGCATTGTGGGTAAGGCGGCCAACGTTGCAATCGGGAGCGAGCACTTCAAAAAAAAATAAAAAATACATGGTGGAATTGGGTGGTTATCGAAGGACAAAGAGGCATCCGTTTATTGCATGATTTAATCAAAGGTGACGTGGAGGTCAAGCACATGTAACAAAAACACGCCATTTCATTGCTGTCATTTCAAATGAGTTAAGTGCTGAAAATTTTTCGTGGACGATGTCGCTCCTCCTTCCCACATGAAGTGCCGTTGTCTGGAAAACACGTCAATGTTACCCAAGTGCCTCTTTGCTGCGTCGACCCGACACGTTGCGTCGACCTTTCGCTTACAACGTTCCCCAATCGGTCACGCGGCAACCCGTCTTGCATCAGACCGTCGTGAAAACGGAAGCACGATCCCTGAGATTTTTTTTTTTCCAGGTTGAGAAGCGTTTCAAAGTTCTCCACGCCGCCTTGTAAATGTGACTCATGCGTTGAGCCCACGCCGGGCTCATCCAAGTGCTCGTCAAGTGCTTGTCCTCATTAGGGAGCGAAAGGCGGCGTGGCCGGCCAATCGCGGGGCACATACGGTGCATCTGGAAAGTATTGGGTGGTCACGTCTCGGTCACATGATGTCAACATGTGAACTCAATTAGTAGTTGGGTTGAAACACTCGTTACAACTCAAGCCGGAGATGGGTTGGTTCATTCAAGCGTCAAAACCCTGTGCTGAATTTTGCCAAGCGGTTCACAAGACGGCGGCAAAGCACTAATTGAAGCTCTCGACTCAATTCAACCTAGTTCCTTGACCACCAGAAGGCTCCAAAGCCATTCTGGCGCATGTATGTGGTGAACACGGTGCATCATTTGTGAACATTAAGACTTCATGAATTTATTCCGTATTGGAATAAGCGTGGAACATAAAGCAGCTCTGTGAGCGTCGAACGTGAATAGATATCAGTGATTGCCTCGTTTCTGATTGAATACATTTGCAAAAATATGCACCCAACAATTGAAGTTCTGAAAATGGGGCGTGGCGTGTCAAAGGGCATGGTCGGATGGTGGATGGGCGTGGGGGGGGG